CACCGACAACGAAGCAGCAACACATGTGCCCTAACGTTGCTAGACATCCCTTATCGAATGAACAACTTTCATGTGCTCTAATGTCTTCTTTCCATTTATTTTTTTGCTCCAATTAGTAACTTTATACCTTTTCAATTTTATTAAATTTCTACTGTTTTCTGACATTGCTGTCTCTTGTATGTTGGAAGCTTTTTCTGGCTCAAAAATTCATTCCGACGGGAACTTTTTCTCCTCTCTTTTCAATTTTTTTTCTCTGTATTTTATTTATTTTTCCATTTTTTGTGTACAATAGTAACACAAAAAGTTGTTGTTCCATCACTAGGTAAGCTAGCTTTCTGTACTTGTTATGCTATACATATGTATTTTAGTTGCTTTTTTCGGTGGTTTATATGAAAGTTTGTTGAATGTGGGGAATACAGAAGCACTTCAACTTTTTCTCTTAACAACGGCGAGCGATTATTTTCCTGTTAGTAGCTTTGTTTTTTGTTGTAGAATTAAAAGAGGCAAATGCTTAAAAGGGATTTATTTCAGTGTGATGTGAGTGGATGTATCATTGAAGATTTTTTGTGAAACGGTTTAGCATTTGACTCTTTAGACCAACGATCTTAAGTTTGATACAAGGCGTATACACTCGAAAAAAAAGTTGGGATTTTTTGGGATTTTTCGGGATTTTTGGGATTTTTGTAGAAAACCTGGGATTTTTGGGATTTTTCTGGGATTTTTGGGATTTTTCTGGGATTTTTGGGATTTTTCTGGGATTTTTGGGATTTTTAATATTTTAAAAAATTTAATTCCTTTTATGGAAGTAAAAATCTTGAAAATTTGCTCTAAAATTTTTAAGAGAGTTATTTCATGGTATAAAAACTTATTCATCATCAATATAAATTAATAGTTTTTACATATTCTGTTGGTAAATCTTGTTCTGGTTCACTTGTGTAACAGAATAACTGCTAACGCTGTAAAACACATTTTTGTGTAGTTCCACAATTTGTTCATTAACAACATAATAAGCTGTCAACCTTTAGCTCTTAAACTGTAAATTGTTACAAAATCTCATAAAATTTTTTTATCCTTTTTTGCCTTTTTGTTAGAGTAATTCATATTTAAAACTCTTTCTGTTCCCAATATTCCATTTTCATGTATAATACTATGATCACCACGTCCTATTTCCTTTTCTTCCCAAATCAGTTCCTTTTCTGATACTTGTCAAATTTATACATCTTTTTTCTATATATCGTCTGGTTGTATCGGTGTTTTTAGTAATCATGATTTGTTTGCCTTGATAAGTTCCTATTAATTAAGAATTTGCTTTGGAATTATTCCTTCAAAAATTTATATTTGTTATTATTAAGCCATTTGGGAATTGATGAACATCTATATCAATTTCTTGATCAACGCCAATATTTGATGTCTTGAATGTAACATTCTTATCTTCTAAATAATCTTTCAAAAGAAATTCAGAATCAATATCATCTCGTATGTTGATTGCGTTTTGCGAATCTTCAGTAAGTAAACTCATATTAATACGTTCGATTACCATGCCTAATTCACGTACTTGCATTATGGGTCAAAATTTAAATTTTTTTGTAATTATGTGGCTGTTTGAAGTTAAACAAGTGAAAATTTTGATTTTTTTCATTAAAACTGAAAAATCTCTTCAGTAGATAAAGATATCAAAAAAAAGTTTTGAATTCTTCAAAAGTATCAAATAAGAGCTTTATGATGATGTATTATAAAGATACACTTATGCTAGCAAATGTATGAAAATCCAAGGAAAAATATCTTTAAACGTGCCGCAACCATCGTAAATGCCCAACTTCTATTCTAAAAACCATATATCACCGTGTAGCTCTTGACTTTTAAATCCAAAACTGTATTCAACTTTGGCTTAATCAGGTGCAAAATAAATTTATTGTGATTTTAAACGTTATTTAAAGATGAACTTTGAAGAATTTTTTTCAAAAAAGTCAAAATTGGTCGAGATATAGGGTACTTTTGATATCTGACGACTTGTATGTTTTTTTCTTCACTCAAACCACCAGTACTCTTACAAAAAAATAAATATTTTTTAATTCAGTTTTTATTTTATTATAGCTTAAATCAGTACCTTTCAAATGATGTATAAAACTTGATAGTTAAGTTTGATCTTAGTCATGAAAATAAGCCTGGTTTGTGACCGACCCAAAACGAAGAAAAATTTCAAAAACGTCATTTCTAGAAATATCACTTAGAAACAAATTTAAGTATTGATTTGTAGTTTTTTATGATGATTTATGATAGTTATGACTATTTTAACTCAAAAATTTACATTTCATAAACTTTTTGCTATCTCAGGTAAAAGGTAGCTTTTAAGGTATGACCCTAGTAGACATTGATATTTCATATTAAAACACATCTGAGACAAAACACATTCGGCCTGTTTCACTAAAGTATATTATCCTCGATTTCGGATTATCTACTTCAGTTTTGTGGAAATTTCTCCAGACGCTCAAGGTTATTAAGAGATCTAATGTGTGATCTAGTTAGAGTACTTTTCTCCTTAAATCAACATGTACTTAGAATTTTTATATCTTCATTAGTTTGAGAATTATAACAAAAATCGAAGTTAATCTACTCGATTTGGCTAGAAAATTGAATGATTAATACTTCTTACCGAAAATCAAAAGTTTAAAGTACATATACAGAAATGAATGTGAAACAGGCCGATTACTTTTATATGGTTACCTATCAAAAATTTTTCATTTTCGCTATTTTGTTAAATTTCAGCTTGCGTCGGTCACATTAAAAACTTTTCCATAAGAAGTATAAGTTTCATACAAATTTTATACACCATTTTAAAGGTACTGATTTAATCTAGCAATAACCGAAAACGGATTGCAAAATATTGATTCTGAATAAAGTTATAGATATTTGAGTGGATCAAAATGCATACAGAACTGCGACCAGCATAGATAAAAATACAAAAGTTGAAAATTTCATGCTTTTTTGGCAATTTTTTTTTGTAATTAGGTTAAGATTTTAAGCTATCAAGGACACAAAACACTTATGTAAAATGGTAAACTGTATCGTTGCGTTGATATTGGTTTCTTCTACATGCTTTAATTAAGAAAATATTTGACTTTTTGTAAGCGTTGTACTTGTACAGAATGTTGAATTCTGAAATTTTATCCAAAAATTAACTTAATAATTATTAACAAATTAAAATTTTATCATTGTGCATGCTTAATATACCTTAAAAGCACTTATTAAGTACCATTTAGTAGAAAAATGAGGAATTTTAATTCAATTTCTGTACAAGTGCAACGCAAAAACGTTTATTTTCATAATCCGCGAACAAAATATTTCAAATTTTCCTTTAATTAACAACTTATTTTTTGATTAGAATGTTGTTTATGATATATTTCTGCTGGGATTTTCTGGGATTTTTTGGGATTTTTTGGGATTTTTGGGATTTTTGGGATTTTTGTAGGAAACTTGGGATTTTTTTGGGATTTTTGGGATTTTTCGGGATTTTTTGGGATTTTTGGGATTTTCTGGGATTTTTTGGGATTAATCCCAAAAATCCCGAGTGTATACGCCTTGGTTTGATATCTATTATTTGAATTAATATATTTAATAATATTCTAGCTTCGCAACTTGACTTAGCATCTGTTATGCTTCACAGACAGTCTAAAACCAAAACTTTTCAATATAAAATCAGATGCTTGACACATGCAAACCTTTATATTTTATGAAACACAACATAATGTACAATTCCAGTAAACAACCCACATTCCTTCAACTCCTTTTAAAGTTCCCCATCAAAAGCAAACAACGAAAAATTCCTTCACTCAAAATCTCCGCACGATCCCTCACAATTATTAGCTTGTTAAAGCATTCCGTTCCATCGAAACGTCAAGTTCTTGTTTAGTATTGATATTACGCCATGCACAGCCTTTGTTATTATAAATTTTCATTCATTCTCCTCTCATTTTTTTCGCTCTGAATTTCTTCAATATGAAAAATTTGCTTCTTCATATTTTGCATCGGTATTCGTTGTTGCTTGAATGAATACAATATTTGTGTACCGCTCGTCGATGACTTCTTTCTCTTTAATATACATATATATTTTTGTTGCTATTCTTTCTCATATTTCTTTTTTCGTTGTGAAGAGCTTAAAATTGAAGGAGTTGAGCTTTTGTGTGAGAAGCTTTGGGTGTCATGGTTAAAAAAATTGATTTTTAAATTTATTATGTTCATGATAAGAAATTGAAGATTATAAACATCGTTCATATTGATTAATTGGGATCCAGGTGCTGTTTCGTTCACTGGCTCAAGTTGACATTTCAATTTGATAAAAATGCGCCAATAAAATTTAAATTCCTTCTTAAAACTTTCCCAACAATTTCTTTTATTTATCAGTCGCTTTAAAAAAAATCCGCTCTACACGCTTCGCTCACATCAGAAAGGATTTTCATTCTCTGTTGATATTCAATGTGTTGTTTAAGTATAAGCAACTCTTTCTCTACTATTTTTTTTCTTCATACTTATTTCGCTCATCATAAAACGCGACGCGCTATCGTGATATAAAGGAGAAAAGAAAAATTTCACTACATTCAGTCTAGATTGAAGAGCGCGACAGGAGACAAATATATAAATTTTTTCAAATCATAGTCGGTGGATGGTTGAGATTGAAGTTATAGAAGAAAGCGCGCCACAAGCAGAACTTGACTGAAGGATTTTTTTGTTATCAGTCTGCGCTTGAATTTTTGTGTATGAACTGATTTGTGTGAAATATCAAAAGAGGAAAAAAATAAGCCAAAAAATATGAAAACAACTCAAAAGCTCTGACATCGAAATACTTTCATCATTTTTTTGATTTTGTAGATGAAATTTTCATTCGTTTTTTTGTGTGAGTGAAAAAAATAGATAGAAATATAAAAATAAATAATTTTAATAACTTTAGTTGATAAGTGAAAGAAATATTTGTGTCAAATAGAGTTAAATATTTTTTAAATTGAAAAAAGCTTAAAAGCCACCAAAGAAAATTAATTGAATATTTTAAGAAATGGATGCACCAATACAGGAAGACTTTAGAGGAGGTACGTTCATTGATTTTAAATGAATTTGTTGGTATTATTATTAAGGAAGTAGCTTTTATTTTTTGGATTGTCAATGAGTCATTTGATGATATCTGAATAGTTGAATGATCGATTGTTGATATATTTGGCAAAATATTCAGTTTATATCATCGTTGATGTAATTAGAATGACAATTTGAATAAGTTTATTAATTGTTGCCTAATTGCTTCAATTAAAACAAAATAAAAGAGAATTTTCTTCACAAATCACGATTTTCTCTACATTAATCATCTCAGAGAAACCACAAAAATCTACAGAAAAGAATTTAGTGTAAAATTTTACGACTGAATTTTACTGATAACAAAATTTATGTCCTCTACACCAAAACTCATAAAATGCCACAATAAATTGAACATTATTTAAAATTAAGTGTCAAAGACATTATTGATGATGAAAAATAAATAAATTCAGATGTAATAAAAGTTTAACTTCTTTAATTAAGTACGAAATTAGATGCTTTAAATGAAACAATGAGCATAACATTTTATAAACTGAAATGATTTTGTTGGTTAAAGACTTTTTGATTTGAGAGTGGGTTTTAAATGCTTTTTGAAGAAACTTGGGATTTTGGCCAAGTCTCATAAACATGTCATAACTTTGACGAGGGTCTTTTATTTCATCAACCATATCATATTAATCCAATTAAATGTCATCATATCCCACAAAATTTCCCCCATTCATCTTCATGTCATCACCTGCAACATTGTTCTTTTCTACTCCCAAACTTTTCAAACCCGAAAAAATTCTCCCACAAAAATTTAAATTCAAAACATACTCAAGTGAAACTCATAGATGCACAAGCTTATTGTGCATTAACATAAAATTAAATCGTTAAATGAGTTCATAAATTAAGACTTGAGTGTAGAAAACTCATCATTTTTCCTCATAAGCTTTTATTTCTAGAATAAACTCCATAATCATCATTGTATTTATCGTTTGGTGTTCCACAGAGCCGCATAAAGCTATTTGCTGAAATATTAGCAGCAGTTTTGAATTAAAATTTAAATTTTGAACTTCTTTTAAAAAGAAAATATGAAGAAAATAACAAGTTTATTCATAGTTGATCTTAGATAAAATTAATGGGCTCATCTGTGCTGATTCAAATATATATTGTTATTTTAAATGAGTTATAAAGGCTGATAATAGAGGAATCTTTTTGGAGGTATTTTGAATTTTGTTTAAAAGAATTTAATCCTTAAGTAAAATAAGGATTTTCCTTATTTTTTATGGATTTGAAGCTCGTTTTACCTTGATGGGACCAAAATCCTCCTCTGCACTAGTAACCCTAGTATCTTTAATTTTTAGATTCATCACAGACATTAAACATAATGCAAATTGTTTACAATCTGCCAAAAATCTAACAAAACATAATTTTTACAGTCTTCCACAAACTCTTCTAAAGAAATAATGATAGAATATTAAATTAATTGCCCTTTTATGCCTCATGATACATTTTTATAATTTTTTCACTAAAATAAATTACATTTTATTGCTATACATGTAGCAGTGTAGTCCAAACTTTTTGGAGCACAGCATTTGATTCTCGATATATTGCTTGGAACTTTGAGCATTAGCGATTTTATGACGGAATCGCTTTCATTTCGGACTTTGTAATTTTTTTTCCACGGCACACAGTTTAGCCAACACTGCTTTATAGAGAGAAACTTTTTCCAACCCCCTTTAATGACTTGCTTTATTGCTCAGCTCTAATTTTTTAGTAGTTTTAATGATAACAAGTTTTTTATGGACATTAAAAAAGAACAAGAAGGAAGATGAAAAATGTGTTTAACTTGTTGGGACAGAAATAAGCAAATAAGTTGAAAATAAAGTTTAAAATGTGTATTTAAAGTTTCTTTGGAAGGATTCAAGCATTAACAAATTTGCAATTACTTTTAAATTGGATACAATGGAGACATATGTTCGTAAAGTTTTTGTGCCTTTCAGGTAGACAATGCATAAATGATTATAAAGTTCTTACGGAAATTTAATTTGTTTCAATGTTAAGCAGAAAGTTCCGATTTGTCTTTGACTTGAATTATTTGTAAAGCTTGACATTTGCAATGAATTTGAAAAAGCTTTTGAAATTTAACTATTTTTAAGTTTCTAGATTCCTTTTGATTCTCATGCAAACAAATTTCCATCCAAATATTTTTGAAAATTAAAAATTTCTATTTGCCACTTCTATTTGTAACTTGGATTTCACATATCGATTCAAATATTTCTAGCTTTTAGCAATTATGACAAGAAGCATTTCCTATGATCCAATTTAGGTCAAATGCTCTCATCATAGGCTCATAAACACATTTATGAATATGTACGTTAATGGCTTGAATATTCATTGAGCAATTTCATTTCATTTCGATACTTTTTCTCTGCCTTTAAAAACCAAAAAAGCTTAAGTGGTATTGAGTGATATAAAAATAGAGATTGAATACAAGCGTTTTTGTCCTCCTCCCTCCCATCCTATTTGACAAGTCATAAAAATAATTTTAATGTCAAACTTCCATATAAAATTTTATTTTCCTCACTCACATCAAATCAGGATGAAAATAGAAATAAAAATCGACCATACCGCCTTAACCATTTCCAAGCGAACAGATTTATTTTTGTTTTTGTTGATGTCTGTTATTTTATCTTTGTACAGCAAGATATAATTTCTATTTTTTCTGTATATAAAAATCGTCGAAATTTTATATTTTCTAAATTTACGCATCATAAACTTTTCCACTTCTTTGTGTATTTACTTCATACGCTGCTACCCATATACGATTATTCCTACCCAAATCCGTTGATCTCTGCAAAAATTTCGATGAAAAGTGATTACATTGTTTGATGATATGCCAAAAAGAGGCAGCCATAACAGAAGATAAAAAAAATTATGGCAAAGTCGCTAAATATTTTATGAGTTTGATTATATATAGAAATCCACGCCAAATAAACACACAAAATCATGTATGCTCAGGCTTGAGGCTTGAGACACTCAAAATTATTGTGCTATGACACGCAATTTTTCGTCTGCTTCTTCTTCATCCTCTTCAAGTTTGATTTTGATGTGTTTACATTCTCAGAAGACAAAAGCAAGAAGAATTGATTGAAGTTTTAAACCATGAGTGGAAAAAAGGAAATGAAATTGAGACAATTGATGTCAAGAATTGCTGACTTGAGGATATTGATTCCTAGTATTTTTTAAAGCCTCTACTTTATTATCTCTGTCATGTTACTATATGTATGTAGGACATGTTTATCATTTTGTCAATTACTTGAGGCGGTGATGTTGCAGGAAATTGAAAGTAATAAATATAGGACACTATAATGTGGAAGGTTTAAGGCCTAGGAATGAGTATGTGTTGTGCAAGCAAATTTCTGACTAATCTTCTGTCAATTCTCATCCCTTGACTCGAAACAAAGAAATCTTATTTCTGATAATCTCATGAGAAATGCCAAACCATATAGCAATTTCCTTCTCGTATGAAATAGATATAGACTCATGGTGAGGGCGTCTAACGATGTAAGGCAAACAAGTTAGTATCGCAATCTATTAACGGCGTCGTATTGTCTCATTTTACATGCTTAATCAATAGAGAGAGAAATTTTCTTCCTTAAAAGGGGAAATAAATTCATTCTTTTTCAAGCAATTCGCTGACGCTTCCATGATTGCGAAAATTTCTATTACTTTTTCTCTATGTTTCTCTTATTATGGCGCCAACTGATTAATTCAATCTGTTTGCAGCGATATATCTTCATGTGAGCTTCGTGAGGGTCGTTAATCAATTGTGCACACACATTTTTCATGGTTTATAACTTCGTTAGCTTACTAAATCACAGATCGTGAGAAAATTATTCCTTCATTTGTGTGCGAAGGCATTGATCTTTAAATTAGCGTCGAAAAAAATCGAAGATTTTCAATTTCAAGTGCAAGAACGCTAAAACTTAACTCACATGCACTTTATTCTATAAATACCAGCACGTGTAGACGAGCTTCTTTCAAATTCCGCAAATTACTGCGTGAGATTGAATATCGAGGATGTTCGCATGCATGCAAATAGTTTAAGTTAATATGAAATTGAAACTACAAAAATATCAATTTTCTTGAATTGAATTATTTTGCATGGATATGGATTTTTTGATTAGTTTTTGAAAGCAATGCTCAAACTCCTGAATAAGAATCTCATAAAAACCTACAAAAAATTTTCAAATATGGAAATTTATTTATTAAACTCCATCTATGAGTCTATTTAAATTTATGGCGGCATATATTTGTATTGAAAGTAAATGGAAAATGGTAATTGAAATAAATAAACTAGAAGGAGAAAGTATTGAATGAAATCTTATGTGCAAAAAAAAAGAACAACAATTGTATTTTGTTTGGAAAATTTCTTTACTTTGTTTTATTATTTTTATTATTTTATTTATCTTTCATAATAATCAATAGGGTCGAAACCTTCTTGATGGAGGAATGTCTTCAATTTTTCATCTACCTATTAAGAAGAGTTGCAGTAAGAGTAAATTTAATGCCATTTTATGCATCATCGGCTCTTGCAAACATGAACTTTAACCTCAATGTTTGTCAAACCAAAACATTTCCCCAAAATGCATTACCAGTTCCGAAAACAATTTCCATTAACCTCTCGGAATAACAAATCTGAATCAGTAATTAAGTCAATGACTAAACATTTCAATCAATCGAAAAAAACCTAAAGCAAATTTTTTTAAATCAACAGAATAAAGTCAATTAAGCCATTCACTTCACCTCTTACTATCCATTCCTGCATTTAATGCTTTCCAATCACGCTTTTCATTTATCCGTGAAAATTAATTTCTCATTCAGCTAAGCTTTCAGGTTATCGTATGAATTTTCATCAATGTAAATTTTTTTCCGCGATTATATCATCATCACTTTAACTGCTTGTTGTTGTTATTGCTACTGCTCCTGCCTTTTTATTTCGAGGTGTCGGGAAACT